TCAGCAAGTTCAGCGATGACACCGAGCTGTGTGGGGCGGTGACATACTGGAAGGAAGGGCTGTGCCATCCAGAGGGACCTGGACAGGCTGGAGAGGTGGGACATGCAAACCTCATGGGGTTCTACAAGGCCAAGGGCAAGGTCCTGCCCATGGGTCGGGGCAATCCCAAGCACAAATCCAGGCTGGGCGAGGAGTGGATGGAGAGCAGCCCCAAGGAGAAGAACTTGGGGGAGTTATGGATGGAAATGAGCCAGCAACGTGCGCTCACAGCCCAGAAAGCCAACCGTGTGCTGGGCTGCACCCAGAGAAGTGTGGGCAGCAGGGCATGGGAGGGGATTCTCCCCCTCTGCTCCACGCTCCTGAGACCCCCCTGCAGTGCTGGGTCCAGCTCTGGGGGCACCAACATCAGGACACGGACCTGCTCGAGTGGGGCCAGAGGAGCCCACGAACATGATCAGGGGCTGAAGCAGCTCCCCTGTGAGGACAGGCTGAGAGAGTTGAGGGTGTTCAGCTGGAGAAGAGAAGGCTCCAGGGAGACCTTAGTGTGACCTCCCAGTACTTAAAGGGGCTACAGGAAAGGGGGGAGGGACTCAGGGGTGTAGGGACAGGATGAGGGGTAACGGTTTTAAACTGAAAGAGGGCAGATTTAGATTAGATAGAAGGATGAAATTCTTGACTGTGACGGTGGTGAGACACTGGCACAGGTTGCCCAGAGAAGCTGTGGCTGCCCCCTCCCTGGAAGGGTTCAAGGCCAGGTTGAACAGGGCTTTGGGCAACCTGGGCTAGTGAAAGGTGTCCTTGCCCATGGCAGGGGGAGTGGGACTAGATGATCTTTAAGGTCTCGTCCAACCCGAGCCATTCTATGATGGTCAGATTTTAAATTCAGAGGTTCAGTGAATGCTCTGCCCAGCCAAACAGTTGCAGGGGGGTGGGACTAGATAACTCTTAAAGGTCCCTTTCAAACCAAACCATGCTATGATTCTGAGAATGTCTCTAGGCTTTGGGTGCTTTCTCAGCTACTTCTGTACCTGTCTCTGCTTCTCTCAACTATCAAACACCAGAAAAAAAACCCAAGCAGCATGAACCATCAACTAAGCTAAGCGGTTTGGAAAAGCAACAATACAAACAAGTAGATTCAAATCAACTTTCTTTTCACAGAAGAACACCCATAAACACAACATTTAGATGCTACAGAAGTTTGCATGACCTCATATCCTGAGAAGTCGATTTCAACAAGTCAACACAATTGTCAGGGCAATACCTAAAAGCACCACGTCCACCACACAGAAGGAGATGCCAAGCACTAAGGTGGAAGTAGAACAGGGTCCCAAGAAAAAATACAGCCACAGACTGGAGAAACATCTCTTGCTTTGACGCTCTTTGGAAGAGAGCTCCTCATAGCTGCGAGCAAGCCAGGTACCAAAACTCACTCTACATCAAGCAGTTCCAAACTAAACAAGCATTATGCCCCACACTCTGCTACCAACACATCACCCCTCCAAC